CCGATTCACTAAGCGTTCTCTGCATTTTGAAGCTATATGTCTCTTGCATAGCTTTTATGTAGTACGTTCGCGGACAAGGTGAGCTACTCTGTCATTCAGGATCAAAGCCAAAAACTCCAGTGCCACACTTGTACGTGGTCAAGGCCACACTATTGGGTCCCATTTGGGATTGCAGAAAAGATGTCCCGTTGTAAGACCCTACATGCGGAAACAAATTTTCGATATCTTGAATCGGCTTAAGCCTTCGTCATCGTATCGATAAAGTGCGCGGCAAGCCATTCCTTTGTTTTTCTCTACCATTCCGACTATTTACACTTGAAGGCAGTTTCCGCGGTTGCAACTGGTAGGTAGCAGACTTCAAAATGAGGAATGTGTGTGCTAATTGACTCACTAGTAAAGGAGGGATCATGAGAAACTGTCTTTTATAAGGCCCACATTCTTGCAGCTGGTCATGGTCACTGGACCAGCATGAGAGGCAAAGATCAGTTGCAATTGGCAATCCGCTGAGGTTTGACAATAGCGGAAGAGAGACCAGAAAGCGATCGGTGAAGGACCACTACGGCATTATCATGACGACACGGCCAACACAGTCCGGCATGGGACTACTGGGCCCCATTATGCTAACATTCTGGTTCCCTGAGTGCTGATGCCGATTATTCAATGTTGTACCGGTTTTGTAATTTCCAAGTTCTGAATGCAGTCTCTGTAATGGGGGGGGGGCTTTGGCCACAGTATATCGTGGACACTGCAGAAACGAGAGACTCCGAATCCTCTTACTCTGACAATATCCAGCGGATCTCTTCACGCAACCTTAGAAGAACTGCAACTTATGAATTTCGTTTTCCATTCATCAACCATAATACGATTGCTTGCATAGACAGTGGTGGTGTATTGGCAGAAGGCTTGCTTTTCAAACGCGTATTGCGGAGTCATACCCTTATCGGCTCCAACCCAGTCCAACTAAGCCTTCTGTCTTCCGAAGACGGTAAATGGGTACCAGATTCAAATGAGAAAATTAAGGCGTTAATCTACACATTTGCCACATTAATTAGAGACTTACTGTATCGGCTATATCTATTCAAAATCCGCTGTATGTAGTTTTGAATGGAAGTGGAATGCGTGGGGGAGAGATATTGAACAACGGCTGAAGTTTTATCCTTCTTTAACTACCTTTGAGCATTGCTCCGAATCAGTTTTTCAAAACCAGATTTCTTGTATTACTCGAAATATCGGGAACATACTTATAAAATGCTCCTCGAACATATAATTTCAGTGGTCCGTTCTCGTCACTAGCATGTTCACTAGAGCCTTTAGCTGTGAAGAGCGAAGAAACCGAAGAGGAAGAGGTAGCTTTCTTCACTTATCTGCCACATTTCACTTCTTCTAATTGATCGTTTAGGTTGTTTCGTCGGCGAAGAAAATTCGCAAAAATCGGACGAAACGACAAGAAAAGCCACCTTACAGCTATATTGCCCTGATCGCTATGGCTATACAAGTATGTACACAAATATTCCACTTTATACAAAGATGACAAACTGGGTCATCATTGGGCTGTTATCTGAAAAAATACAATTGTATTTGGAAAAATAAAACAAATCGAAAATGACTTGCCTAGGGCTGCTCCTGCTGGGAATGAATCCGAGGCAAAGCATCGTAGGCAGACTCTTCCTATACGAGTCCGCTTTGTACACGGTGATTCAAGCACTTTCATACTCCTACCACAGGCGTTGTTATAGTATCGCCCTTCCTGGAGTTAGCCTGGCAGAAAACTTACTCATTTTTCACCCTTGAGGACGGATAACATAGATAAAAAATTCCTTTTTCGCCTTTCCCACTCCAGAGTAAAAGTAAAGGATGAATCCTCTCGTTGATGGATCCCTTTGAGGGATGCGGCACGCATTCTACTTCCCCTCGGAATCGCAGTAGCACATTGAATATGGCCTATACAATGACTTGCGGGGACCAGCCGATGTACAAGTCAGTGTTTTATCCTACCAGACGAATCTGGTACCAATTTACCGTCCCCGGAGGGTAGAAGGGGATATTGGTTGGCCTGGGAGGGAGTCGAACCGGGATTTGAACCCAGGACCGCACTACGCTACCTCCGCTTCATTCCAGTTCTATAACGAAATAAACATAATATTTCGATGTCACAAGTGAGAGCATGGGCAGGAGAGGAGGGGGAGGGGGGGGGGGGGTAAATATACAGGGAGTGCGAACGTGTGGACGTGAAGACCACACATACAGATGTGTTTCAGAAGCGACCGGACAAACGAGCCACATTAGCCGAAATCTACACGTTCCTTCAGGAGCACTTTGATTTCTTTCGAGGTGAATACGTTGGGTGGAGGAATTCTATTCGTCACAATCTCTCACTCAACGACTGTTTCGTCAAACTACCAAAAGAAGCCGGAGAACGGTGAGCAGCACCTTTGCGAATTCCTAATGGCTTTGATGGTTACGATGACCCTTCACCAGTGTAGCCCATTTCACAGCCATAGACTGATTCCCATGAATCCCGTCGGTTTCTACCGCAATTTTATCACATTTTTTGATTCTTCAAGCTTGCTTGTTGGCGGTTTTTAATCTGAGCATCTCCTTATAACACCGGCTACTGTTAAGCCCCCCTCTGATTCGCCAAACAGGGTGCAGGTCATGCTCAATAAACCGACTTTCTTCATCTCTATGACGTGCCCCGAATGCAGTGATAATCGACCTATGACTGGTAGATTCAGTTTACCAGAGAGTTCACCTGGTAGATTTAGTTTTATAGATTTCTATTCTATTCATTGGCCTTGCCCACTGTCTTGTGAAAGTTAAGACTCCCTGAAAGGTTGTTCAAAAATGACTAAACTAAATCTACCGGGTGAACTCTCTGGTAGCCTGCAGTAACATCCGCTACAGCTAACTCTTGAACCCGAAATAAATACTGAGTGATAAACTGTAATTTACTGTTTCCAGAGGCAGGAAAGGGCCATAAGTGGACGATCTCGGATAACTGCGAATTTCTTCTTGAAGAGGGCGCTTTTCGTCGACGACCCCGAGGATACAAAGCGAGAAAGCGACCTGCATATGGTCAATTCGTACCGGTGAGTCAAATAACGACTTGTGACAATGCAATCTAATGGGCTGCGGTTCATAAGGTTTAATCAGAAGTCGGACTAGAAAATCCTCAAAGTTTTCGAGCTTTTATAATGGGACCCATTTTATACAATTGACTTGTGGTGACAATTAAAGTGGACTCCCCATGGGCGATCGATGAGGGAACGGATTTACTTGTTTTGAATGGATCTTCATCTTCATGAATCAATGGTTGTAGTCCGACGCCTCTTTGTATAAGATCACTCGAAGCAAGTCCAAGGAACATTTCTAGTAAAGAAATATCTAAATGAGTTAGACAGTAGATGGCCGACTTGTGGAATCGCTATGCTTCAGGGACTGTGGCCTGTTACATAGGCATCCTGCAACAATCCTTAATGGGCTAACTCGCACAATCTCTCTCATGGCTTGTGAAATGAAGCGTATGAAAACAACCCTTAGACGACTGAAAGATGTGGAAATAATAGTGCGCCGATGATTCCGGTATTCGGCCTTGGAAGGAGTCGGGCGTTTGTCGTATACAAGTGGGGGCCGGTCAAGCATGTACATGCCTTACAAGCAAAACTGCCTTATATTAAAGAGCAGCCGGGATCCTTCCATAAAAGGAGTATGCAAAAGAAAAAAAGGCAGTGAATTCCTTTCTGAGATTCATAATATGATTTTCTGAGTGGTCCCGCTGATTCTTCAGCGCCACTCTTAATAGTAACGTCGATTCTAGTAATATTGTGGTAAGATGCTTCCGTGATGAGAGTAGCGCTCTGCTTGGCGCTCGGTAATGAAACTTCCACGCGAATTCAGGTTCAGCAGGCAAAATGAGCGACACCAAGACCGGTGGTCACTTTTCCATGCGGGCAAAGAATACAAGCTTGCCGTAACAGCACGTATGACAGAGGAGTTTGAAGTTCTCTCAGAACTAGAATGTAATCGCCTTCCATATCTGCACACAATGTTGCCTTAGTCTATTCTGCTGCCACTGCACCACTTGATTCTCGCCCGCATCTGGTCGAGCCTCCCTTATCGGCCAGACGCCTTTCATTGACTAGTGCAAATGGCCACATGTGCTGCTATTTGAGCCTTTGTACGAGAACTTGCCCATTGCGTCGGGACGTTTCCTTGGAAGAGAAAATTCACAGTTCAGGAGAGGTAATGACCTCTTCTGGCTCTAGCTTGCCTCTTCAAAAGCCGTGCTCAAAAATGTCGCACGATATTCAGAGAAGTGGTTTTTATCATAATCAGCCTCCAGGTTTGAGCGGCAACGAACCAACCTTTAAATATGTGACTTCCAGTCATCGCAAAAGACAAATACACGGCGCATCACTCACGGTACGACGTGCCGTTGGAGATGGAATTTTTCACAATACGACCCGCTCGATCCCAGTTCCTTTTTCTGATACGACCACCTCTCCTCCAACCCCATCCTCTCTTCTCGAATGACTTACCTTCTTTTTGAATTTTCCTTTGTTCTCCTTTCTCCCCAGAAAAGTGCAGTCGAGCGTCGAGCGAGAAGGGTGGAGGGAATGAAGCACGTTTATATGAAGAAAATGAGAGAAGTCAGCACCAAGAAATCTATTCTCAGCGATACGACCCGCTCCTCTCCAGGGAACAGGTCCACCTCCTTTCCCCCAGGGAGAAGGGACCAGGTACGACCCCCTCAGTGGGAATCCTCAGCGTACGACTTGCATTGATCTTACTACACCTCTCTTGTGACCCTTTTCAGTTGCTCGAAAACAATATGCGTACTGCACTAAAGATGTCGATTCCGTAATGTTAGCATTGTAGAGATTAGTGGTCGCCATTCGGTCGGCCATTTATCGCCGCCGGATCAACACTCATAGCGCTGGATTACGGTAGTGCGCGACGGCGCCGACAGCCGAGTATTTTATGAGCTCGTTCTCAGAGTCATTTCCGCTTTGTTTCGGTTTGCAACCAAATCCGTCGATTTCGGCACATTCACACCTGATCGCAAAGAGGCTGTGGCGGCTTACAAATGAAATGGCTCAGCGAAAAAAACCCGAAAACAAAAACAGGGTGAGGGACTCGTTACCAGAGCTGGACTGGATAAAAACTGCGGGAGAAAAACTTGGAACAAGCCACAAAATCGCGTTTTAGACAGATCTGAAGCTCTTATTCAGCAGCAAAACAAGGACAACAAGCAAGTGGAAAGGTAAGCAGATAGCGAGGATTAAACAAGAAAAACTATTCAGCGCTCTGAATTTGGTTTGCTTACTACTGGACTTGATTGGAGCCTTCATCATCCGTGGAATCGACTCCACAGGAGCTCCACGGATATTCGATGCCAAATTGCCTAAAATTCATTGAACTGCTCACTCGTGTTGATAGTCTTCTTCCCCTTGGCTCATGCTTCAAGCCATTTCAGAAGCTGCCTGATGGGGCTAAAGCGAAGTCCTTTATTCGGTCATCTTGTCATCTTGGTGCTGACCTTGGGTGCCGGAACCTGGACTTCACGTACTTCGCGTTTGCTTAGGGTCGTTTTTACTGATTTGAAAATAGTTCTTCCAAGCATACTTTATCTATTTATGTTTCGGTGCACAAGTCAAGGTAAATCAAAAAAAAGTTTGATAGAGAATTCCGACTTCTACTGGCTTGTTCCAAGTTTATTTTTCCGCGGCTGTAGTTTACCCACTTCTTCAGTCTCATGCCTTCCGGAACGAGGGGAGAGGGTAGTAGTCTGAGCTGTCTATTTAGCGACCGCGGCAGTGAGAGGAAGTCTTTCTAGAATGAGACAAGTTTTAATGATAGTTGAGCCAAGCTGTGTCACAACCGCACAA